GTTAATAGCAAGCTCAGTAGTGCATGAAAGTAGTATGAACGTAATGAAACTTACCAAAAGAGTGAATGATGTTGCTGCTAGGGCGAAAAATAGAAATACAAAAGTGGAAAACGTAGGCAAAATAGTGCTTATGGGCGGAGTTCGGCTTCCCAGGAAGTTTCGAATGTGCCTCCAGCTGAAAAAAATGGCAATCAAAGCTGCTTAAATGAATATTCGTGTTCGGAGTTCATGATTAATACTAATTTGAAAAGGTACCGAGACCTTTTGTTTATTGTTTTTTCCACATCAACGGCTAGACACAGTTGTCCTGGGATGCGTTCCTTCTGTAGGCCATTACCCCTTACAAGCATGCAGGACCAGTGCCCGGAATTCGCACTTGGACAACAGAGGCACTTAGCACACACACCAAAGGGGCGTCTACCGCTGCGGTTTCAGTCGAGGCGCTACTTGTGGGTTAATAGTTGCATAAATTCCAATTTATTATCTGGTTTATGAAGCAATTATACCGGAAGAGACGGCCAATGTAGATAATCTAATCGTGGTGCATCTCACTTTGAAAAACACTGCGGAATTTTTCCCGCTTTCAGCTTGCTTTGCTGTCATAAACATTAGACCCCAGCTATAGTTTGCAATTGTTCAAACGTACAAACGAGTTTGAGGTAGACACCTATTGACCATGCGGTCGCACAATCCCACACTTAGTGTGCGGGACGTTCGCAAACTATAATATGACTGCAGCCTTGCATATCTGGGTTTCGAAAAGGAGTATTACACTTACGTCTGCATCATGTATAACGCGCGGATTTTTATACACAAATTAACAAACAAATGATAATTAGTGAAGCTGTACTAACTCCCAAGAAGAAGTAACGCGGCTATGCGAATATTGTGAAGCAACAAAACAGAAAGTATGAAGTAAAAATACGCAAAGAATAGCGATTTTCTGTACATGACTGACCTATATCCAATCCGGAAGAGCATGTTGATGGCATTCGCCACAATAAAACCAGCAGCTTTCATGTATGTACACAAAACAAAAGTCACTACAAGATGAGCGAGCGCTGACAGAAGTAGGAAGCCTCCATGTGAGAACACCTGCATAAAATCATATCACACTATGAAGATTGTTACATTTGAATGACTCCGTGTTTCTGAAACTCCTCTCTTCAATACTCAAGCTTCGAGAGTTTACCAGAAATCGTGAAGGACTTCCAATACTACTGAGGCACAAAAGGCAGACGGCTGCTATTTGTGTCTGCTTCATATGCATTTGCTTACATACGGTCGCTACTATTAGTATTGGAGTTGTACAGTTCAAATGTAAGAATTCATCTCGTCAGTTCGACTTTTACTGCTGATTTGGTACAGCCCAGCAGAGAAGCGTTCCACGTATCCGATCTTTCAACGATTCAGCTACTTTTGAAATTCACTGATGCCAAAACTAAAGAAATGTGTCAGCACTTCCTTCTTTCACTTCAAAAAACGCCTCCTCAAACCCACATTTCGGGCGAATTCCTAAACGCCAAACTGACGATGAGATAGCCCGATCAAATGCTCGATTTCAGTCACTATCATTGAAATGCAGATCACTCATCATGTTCATGATGTAGGAAATGGTAATTTCGCCAAATAAAAACTGTTGCCAGATCTATACTCGTTTCACTCCGACTAAGTACCGAAAATGAAAAGCTAATACTTGTAAGCAAAGGCTTCCAATTCCCTTTCGAGGGCACATTATCTTTCATAGGGAAAAATAAAAAATTATCCCTCAAAGAATCTGGGGCTGAAGGAATGTAGTGGGCAACTGGCGCCACTTCGCACGTGCACTGGAGGTCCAATTTCGCCTCTCGCGTAAAGGATTGAAGTTTTGACCAGCTTATGCTTGTTCCATTTCATTATTTTTGGGAAAGAATTTTGAAAAGACGTCACTGCTTCGATAGAAGCGTTGAGAATGTTAACACATAGTTTTTAGCTGCAGTATTCACACGACGCATTTGCAAAGACTCATTGCGTCGAATGAATGGGACGCGCATTCATTCGACATTCGCATTGAAGGCATACGGGGTCAGCGATCGTGGGCGATCACCCATCATCGCATTATATAAGCTACTATTAAACCGGTCCCGCTGAAAATACAGTGCGCGTCAATTGTATATGCCACCCCCTGATTTTTCAGTTTTCTGACTTATTTGGAAATTTCGTAAATCGGCATAGCAACCATCGTTTTCGGCGTGTCGGAAAACTAAGAATGGTGTTGTTTGATTTTGGTTAACGCGTGGATTTGAATTGCTCTGTTCTTTTGAAGAAAATGGGCCGCGTCAATTGCTTATGCCATCCTAAAGTTTCTTCAGAATTTCTCATTTCTCTAACGCTATTCAGCTACGGTATACATATTCTAGAAATGAGGAGGTTTTTCACTTATACAATGCACGTAAATGATGGAGCCCTTATAAGTAATTAGTCCGGAATACTAGCCCTCATACCGGACGGTAGCAGCAGTAAAGCGCTCTATCAGATAAAGATCTGGTGTTCTCTCTTTTTCTGTTCTTGGTGCGATCGCGCCTGCTGCTCTACTATAGAACTTCTCGGGGGTATATCTGTGCAAACTGAGAGAATTGGAGCCTGCCAAGTACCCTTTAAATCATATCATTCCGCCATCGGCGCACTTTATTGGTGTCAGTCCCGCGAAGAGATGAGAGCGTTCACGCTCACAAAGTCCTCTTTTTCAGAGAGAACATGACTCGTACCTACTACCTGTCTGGTACCCATCACTGAACTCGATCGAAGTTTTCTTATCAAGGCGATGCAATGATGGCCCATGCCACCACTTCGGTTTCCCGTTCAAGTTACAACTGGCCCATGTCATCATTTTCGCTCACTCGGTACGAAAATTTTTCCAGAGAGAATCCGACAAAGTTCGGCGATGGGTACCACGCGGATTGTGAGTGCAACTCATATTCTCTCTGAACAGAGACTTGTGAGCGTGAACGCTTCCAGCTTCGCGGAGCTGAGACCACAAATAAAGTTGACCACAGATTCGATGCGGGAAAAAGTGAATTTAAGGCTCCTTGAGCACTTTTTTTTCTCAATTTCCCCAGTTTTGCCTTGGAATACTCCTCCTGATGAGTTCTATGGTAAACAGCAGGAGCGATCGCAAAAGTTACAACACAGTTCTTTTTCAGATAGAGCGTTTTCATGCTGCTACCGTCCGGTATAAGGGCTAGTATTCACTATTTACTTATAAGGACTTTATCATTTACGTGCATAGGTGAAGAGCCTCCTCATTTCTAGCATATGTATACCGTAGCTGAATAATGTTAGAGAAATGAGAAATTCTGAAGAAACTTTAGGATGTCATAAGCAATTGACGCGGCCCATTTTCTCAAAAAAAAGAACCAATGCAGTTTAAAATCAACGTGTTAACCAAAAGCAAGCAACACCATTCTTAGTTTTCCTACACGCCGAAAACGATGGTTGCTGTGTCGATTTACGAAATTTCCAAACAAGTCAGAAAACTGAAAAATCAGGGGTGGCATAAGCAATTGACGCGCACTGTATATGCAGATATAGTGTTTAGGCTGGTTTCAGAGTCCGCGATCCGTCGCAGGTTTCGCTCTTCGCCATTTGCGCGATTTGTGCGATTCACGCGATTCACGCGACGGGTCACGGAAATCACAAGTGCCCGATCAATACTGCAAGGTGTTCTCCAATCCTGCCGCCAGTGATGGCTGAATGACGACTGCTCATGATTCCACTTGTTTCATATTCAGTGTTTCAAATGTTCAAATGGGGCACAATTTTTGCGATCCGTCGCAGGTTTCGCGCAAATCGCGAAAATCAGCGAAACCTGCGACGGATTGCGGACTCTGACACCAAGCCTTAGTTAACCAGTAAAGAAATGACATAAAATTACCTCAGAATTGCTCATTGTTGCCATTGCAAAACATTCTGTGATACCATTCACTGCTAATATGGACAAATATATACAGTAGAGCGATAACAATACCGCACCTGCAAAAACAATACTTTAGAGCGCTTCAACGAAAAAGAGATAGTCACGTACCCCCATTATCATAGAGTAGGTGTCCACCATAAAGATAAACAGCAAGAGGAGAGTATGGAATTCCGAACACCGAAACGACTACTCCAGCCACGCAGGCCACATGCAGCACAATAGCGAAGTTTTGAACCAAATTGTCGTGGGTATCCTATAATAAGGCTTTATACAATAGTAAGAGCAGTTTTGATACAGAGGAAAAGAACAGGCACACAAACTTAATAAGTTTGAGGTACTTTTAGAAGTAATTTACCGTGCTCTTGTTGAACACTTTCGAATTCTGGTTGACGGTGTTGGAGAAATAGGCGAAACACATTTCCTCCAATGGGGCCAAGACGATTCTTGCCACAAGGCTACCGACTTTCTCAACCGCATCGTAGACCGCTACAAAGATGAAATTGGTGAGATCGTGGTATGGAACTGACATTGACATCTCCAACCTTGACTTTTGAGTGATAATAACTCAGTGAAAGTCATGACGTAGGCGCTGCCGTCGGTCATTAGCTGTTTCATGATGGAATGAGCAAAGAGAGTACCAATCGCAGAAAGAGATTCACGATCAACTCCATAACTACAAAACATAATAGTTACAATACACGTACTCTGCATGCGCACTGCTACTCCCAAAACAGAAAAATACAAGATGGCAGAAGAAAAAGAGATTTCTTTCTCCACTCTCAACACCTAATAAGCTACACGTTACAAAGCTTTAACAAGATGTTTCCAAAAGTCGGAGGCCACACACTTCAAACCAATATGAATTCCTACAATCTTACAATCGCTTTTCAACCCTGCTGAGCTCAGCCCAGATTTGGTAACCGAGAGGAGTTAGGTTTACACGCAACCAGACAAAGTGGGAGGCGTGAATTTTGCTTCTAACCACTTCAACAAAGTGGAGTGTTAGACTTCACCCAGTACTTCCTCACCTCGGTTGAGGGAAGAAACTTCGAAATCCGGCAAAAGATGCCAACTCCGGCATAGAATTCCGCGAATAATAGAGAAAGCCGACGTAATGAAACATCAAATACACAGCAGATGACAGAATCTGCAAATCATTGCCTTCACATTTCATGGATAGGATTTGGCAAAGAAAACAGGCCATAGACCAGTTATCTCCACAATAATGCAAACAGCGATAAAAATATGCATGAAGCGGTGCAAGCTGTCTTCTACCTGTGCGTATGCAAATATGTCGAGATGGGATACCGAAGTTGATAAGACTAGAAAAAGTACAAAAACCCGTTGCAGCAATATTAGGAGGCTTTGCGCAAAAGCAAAATGACCAGAAAGAGAGAACCTGCAAGAATGTACAGACAATAAAAAAATTGAAATAATTATATTGTAGGCAAATCTAAGAATTGTGAACTGACCGTAATGAGATGACCGCAAAGGGTTCAGCCAATGATTCGATAATAGCTGAGAGTGGAAACGCAAGAAGCACGTGGTATGGGAGATCGTGGCTTGAAGAGAATGTTCGCCAAAATAATGTACAAAACACACTCAGTGTGAACGATATCAGAGGACTGAAACAGAAAATGACATGACACCGGTGTAATGTCTAAAGATTGTAGTCTTAAAAAAGACAATGATGAGAAATCAACAAATTACCTGAGCCATATCACATTTATGAAAGAAGGTAGGGAAGATCTGAGGATGTTCGCCTTCCGCATAGGTTCTCGCGTTAAAAACAGTATAGTATTGTATAGTAGAAATAATCTGGAAGTTACCTGGTGAGCTAAAGCTTTATTTAAGGTGATCAGACTGAAACGCTTCAAAAGCTACTTGAGCTTTTAGATGCTAGGTTTTGTTAAAAGAAATTAAATTTTCTTGTTCAGAGTTCACAGATGAACGAAAAGCGCTAACAGGCGATCACTTCTGCATGCTGGTTCAGAGAAATGGGCTGGCAGTGCTCATTTTATCCTTTCAAAAAGTGTGTTAAATGAGGTTCGGGTGCAGTGTTCTTTGAAAGCCAATGAGTTCTTGGGGAAGCAGGTTACTGCCTAAGATACTGCTGATGAAATCGGGGAAAATCTCGTTTTGTCTTCTTCGATTCTCGACAATTTCGTATAATAGTAACAGATAGAAGCTTTAAAGAGTGGCCAAACCTAGCTGAACATAGAGTTTTTGACGTCAGAAGAAATTGAGAACAGATCATGAATATTCAAACTCTCTCTAATAATGTAGCAACTCCAGCTTACCGTACGTTGACGAGACCGAGTACATCATTATCGACCACCCTCAGCAAATACATATTGATTCCAAACGAGAAAACTCTGGCCACCAGCTGAAAAACTTCTTTGTATTCGAAAAATGCATCCAAATTCACCATAAACTTTTCACGTCTTAGGTTCAAAAATAGCTCTTAAAAGAGAATGAATGAAAAACTGCTCACCTGACCACTGAAATTCATTGCAAGTGACCGGCCTAGAGACATTTCCAACCTGGGGATTGTGCCGTCGTACCGACTATGTGTGGAAACTGAACACCGCTTATACAAAGATTTATCGCCAGACTTTGTTGAAACAAAACCACCGAATGAACAACTAAGCAAATCGAAAGTTCAAAAGTATATGTACTTGAACAAACTCCATATGTTCTCTTCACCTTCTTTCAAGAATTTTTCGCTTTATTTGGCCATACCTTAACATACCATGGCCATACCTTACGCCCTCTTGGAGCTCAAAACTGGCGAAATTGGATATATGGGTGTCGCTGGAATGAGAGTGGCTTTTCCGCTTTTCACACCGCATAACTGCTATGGGACTTCATGATCATTCATGCACATGGAGAGATGAGAGACATGGGGGTAGGGAGTCCGGGTGTGGTTCGCTATAATGAAAACCGACCGGAAGTCGCTTTCTGTCCTAGCGAACCGCACCCTAAAACATATCTAACATACGATCGTATGACAGCACGATCGAACGTACCTATTTCGCAGTCGAACTACTAACGATGTGCAAGGCAGTCGCAATGTATGACCGCACCATAAGGCCGATGTCGACTTTGCGGACCTAGCGTACCGCTAGCGAATCGCTGGATTCGCAGAGTCTGAAATCGGCCTAAGATTCCCCCGTTGGTCAATGGCTTACAAAGACAGAGTTTGGCGCTAACATAGTTGGGGGAGGGACCATGCGGCGGTGCAACGCTCCGTTTGCCTGCAACCCTTAAGCTTAGTCACAGAAACTGTTAGTATTTCGAGGACCGCGGCAGTTTCGAACAATAGCACAGGGGACTAAGCCTTGGAAAGGAAGGGTACAAGACGCAGTATTCCCTACTTCCCGCCCCCCGCCCCCTGCCCCATACGATAGCCACCCCACAGTTTATCAATCCCATTTGGCTTTAACACGTTGACGACAACGCGCGTTTTGGGTTTTTGCGCCGCGTGGGACCACGGCGATTTTGCAGGCGCCGCCGCCTCACATCAAATCCGTGAATTTTGAGCTTTAAATACCCAAAACTCGGATGCAACAAAATGTTTAGAATGATATTCGATGTGTCAACTTATCAGAAAGGACAACTGTAAAAAATCGATCAACTAGACGTTTTCCGGCACTGAAAAGGCAAGTTTTAGTTGATTCTGCCGTAGTAAACCTCAAAATTGTTTTTGACGCGGTTGTTCCACTGAAAACATATGTCTTGCTATATGTGTGGGTCTGTACTTACTTCTACTGCTCTTTTTTATGACCAAGATTATCAGAATATAAAGGAAACTAGGAATGAACACAATTGGGAAATTCGTAGGGCTTAGAAAACCTTCGCTAAAAAGGAGCATATTCAACCATTCAATGAACCTCGCCGTGTCTAGTCATATTATGGTGTAGTCTATGGAATAGATGCAAAAAATTAGAAAAGAAGTAGCGCATGCGCGAAAAAATAAATATTTGTGTGTGCAGCGCATGCGCTGCACACGGTCCCACACGGTGCTCAAGGTGTGATGCGCATGCGCTGCACAATGTCGTCAACGTGTTAAGCAAGACTTGAAATTCAACTTATTTTTAGAACAGAAAAAGGGCCACCACGATTTGCCACTCACTGCAGTTGACTGGGCAAATTGCCAACACGTTGGTGCGACTGCGTACTATACGGGATTACAGTTTCCTTTACAAACAATTCCGTCATTGACGATCAGTCACTCAAATTTCGGATCGAATGGTGCTAATGATGGGGTCAGGAATGAATGGAGAAGTGTCTTGCTGATTAAGAAACGCAAGAAGTGTCATATCTAACGGTTTCTAACTGGCACCACAACAGTGGAACAAGAATGGTGTTCCACTAGCAAACACTTCTACATCTAACCATAAATACTATGCGTGCACACCTCTACAATCCTTTGCCTGATGAACCAAAAAGATCAAGTCTTTTTAGTGGATATGGCTTCACGCAAATAATGTTTTTCCTAGTGCCCTTCCCCGAATCTGTCGAAATCGCGATTACATACTAAAATTACAAAACCCAGGTCCTTGAAAGAATTCTGTTCGCAAACTTCCAAACCTTTCCAACAAGACCTTTTCAAAACCTGTCTTCGGATACCCAGTCCTAGCCAATGCGCTCAAATGAAGGTCCTCAACAAGCGCATCATCCTAACTGGTGCTACGTTCCAATGAAGCCCCGGCACTTTCATCGATGGCTCTATGAAAGCGCCGGGGCTGAGAGAAGCACATATGGTAAAAATTAGACTCAGTAAGGCTGTCCCAGCCTAAACAGAAGCGGGACTCCAGCAATTTCGAACTATCAAATGTTGTACGACATACTTTAATGAGGCTTGCGATGTGCGATTCACAATTTGAGATTCTGGCCAGTTTTTCGTAATGGCTTAAGTACTACTAAGTGATACGATCATGCGTCGTGCACTCGTACATATCGCAGCATGATCGGTACGTTCTACGCACTCGAACCGCAAACGACGTGCAAGACGGTCGCCAAGTTTGACCAGGGCCTAGAACAAGTAGTGGATGTCGCTATCCAATCCACTATCTTAACTTCATAAAGACTCAATGACTAACCTCTTTTGTTCCAAAGGAGCCTAATACGACCCTCCCTCAGCACTATGTTCTCAAACATCGCGCCTTACCTCGTTCAGAAAGGCATCGCTGGCCTGTGAAACTCGTGACTGAACTTCTATCTCTAATAGTTCAGAGTCGATGGCGTAGTCAAGCATTTAAAAAATGGGCCCGTGTGCGGACAGGCAATTCTGAACGTAGACGTGGAGGCATGTGAGGTAAAGAGGGCGCTCGTGTTGTAAGAGCGGTCTTTCCGGTACAATAGTTCGTGCTGGTTACACAATTTAAACTCTTGGAGCTGGAGAGAGCTCTGGGTGGGTGATCCAAAGAGAAATGGGCGGCCCGTTTACCCAAAAAAAATAATTATATCTCAATTTTTAGACGTTTACAATAGTTATGTTGTTATGGTTTCAATTGCCTAGGCCATCTGCATGAAAATACCCCCTCCCCTCCACTATATTAGGCCTAACTTTATTTAGGACTTTCCTCAACCGTACCCACACACACACACGGCTTTGATAAAGCCGTGGATTACCAACAAAACGCAGTCTCGCCAAACAACTAGTTCGTGAAAGCTTTTTGGGTTCCCCTGAGGTCTTCTTAGCTGTTAAATAGTGGTGAGAAAAACACAACTGATTAATAGCATGGAAGGCCAGTTATAACAACGGATTTCCAACGTGTTACGCCCCAAGTTGGCACCAGTAGCGGCTTTGTGCCAGGAAATTTCTCCCACCCATGGCCCTGAATTAGCGTTATTAAAGCTCACATAGTTATTTCAGTTCACATCATCTTTTCGAAGGTCACTAGCACCCGTTCTGACCTCACCACACAACCACCGGCTGATACCTCATGAACCCGCGTAGAACGGTACACGTGGAACCATTTTCACTGCGTACGCACGGACGTGCGTTGGCGCATAACCCGCAGGCAAAAGCGTCGTGGTGGTTCTGCTGGCGATTTTGTGGTGTTCACTTTTGTGAAGTGCATCCAAGCTCGTCCCTCATTTCAATTCTCGCTTCCTCATAGTTCAGTTTAGAATCATCTCCTTCCGATCAATGCTGTTCTGATCTTGGCATATATCCTGTTTGCTCTTTTTGTTGGAGTGATCACTATCGTGATCATGAAAAATATTTTTCTTCATGGGTTCCTGTTGACATCGCGCTTCTTATTTTTTATTTCTTCACTCTCAGAAGGCTCCAATGCTCTGCAAGTTTCAATAAAGTACGTGTAGGGTGAGATTTGAACCATTACTGTTTGCTGAATGGAGATGCGTTGTCAAGTAACACTTCTGATCAGCTGATCTCTCATCATTTCAGCTCGTATATCATCACTGTATTTGTAGCTAAAATTGAAAAAGCGCTTTCGCTATGTCGTTATTCTGCTTCCGAGCTCAGCTTACACGTTTTGAGCGTAACGCCTACGGGAGAGGTCGTTTAGGGTGTGGATCGCTTTAGAACACATCTCCACTCATTGTAAGGAAATGCGCGAATTATAACAGTGAGGCTCGTTTCTCCGTGTGGCTCCGGAAGTGTCAAAAAAGGGATGGAAAACTGAGCCGTTTAAAATAGTGGAGAGGGGCCTCATGGTGGCATGAGTTCGTCCCAGCAATAGTATTCCAGTCTTTCGCAGAGAAGGAAGCCGCAGTACGTGTGCACCATTTTGCCTGTGCAAGAGGAGGACAAGCAAGCTGCGAACTGAAAATATTTTCTTGATACTGAAAGCCTTGCTCTGCGACGCGATTCCCCCCCCCCGTACACGCACTAGCGCCGAAATTGTTTTGAAAAGTGCATTTCCACAACTTTGATATATTGTACAGCATTTGCAACAGTCATGTATGTCCACACTCAGAGACTTAGTTCAGACAGGTGGTTCCAGCGTAGTAAGCAAAAAAAGGAAATTGAAAAGCAAGCTCTCATCACTGCGCGCAATGTGAATTTTGAATATAGTTTTACGTTCTTTTTTCGCTTCTTCTCCCCAAATGAGGTACAAGCTCAGTTTGGGAGCTTGTACCTCATTTCTGTGTCCTGTTTTTTTTTTTGTTTTTTTCCTCCTTGTCCTAGTGATATCATGCGTGAACTGGAAATGTCCTCTCCGTCCTGGATACCTTTTGAAAGAGTATTCCGAATGAGCTTCATATAGGTCGGATGAACCTGAAATGTCGTTAGGAAGTGCACACCATACTGCGTAGCGTTCTTCCATCTCTTTTGTAGGTTTATATGTAATACTTGGATCAATTGAATCGAATCTGGTAAAATTACATGTCCGCCCATTATGAATTGTGCCTAATCTCTCATGTATTCGGTTCACAATAGGATGCTTACTCTTTACAGGGTTGCTTTGGTAAAAACCGAAATATCAACATGTCTTGGATTTGGGATTGGTTTTCCAGCGTGCTTAATTTTTTAGGTAAGCATTTTTTTCATTTTTTTACGGG